TCCTCGAATAAGAATAAGTTCATCATCACAAATACGTTCTTGAACAACCTCATCAGCACTACCAATAACTGATGCATCAACTGATTCTTCACCTTCCATATTGGCTAAAGCGGTTAATAATGTTGCTTAAAAAAAAACAAAGAAATCAAATTATAAATAATATAAATTTCTATTATTTTATTTACCTCCTGTTGCTTTAGCAATACGTTTTAAATCAGCTTTTTTACAACGTCTAACAGCCATAGCTCCAGCTTCAACAAATTGTTTTAAACAAAGATCATCAATACCACCTGTTGTTAATATAACATTTGCTCCAGCATTAAGTAATTTTGCAACACGTTCTTTAGCAATATCAGTTTCTCTAAAAAAAAAAAAAGATATTGTATATTATTTTTACAATCATATGAAGAAGGAAAAAAAACAAATATTCAAACCGTCTTCGAATAGCTTCAAGTTTTTCAGGATCTTCAACAACAATTTGAACACCTAATTTCATTCGTACTTTTTGTAAACTAAAATCCAAACATGCTATTTTAGCATTTGTTATTCGTTTTGTCATTAATTGTGAAGCAACTGTACAATTTAATGCATAGCCTGATATTAAAATACTTTCACGTGTTGATCGACCATGAGCTTTTAATACATTTACAGATTTTATTGGTACTACTATTTTATCTTTTTCATTAAATTTAACAAGATTTGCTGCATCAACACACAGCTTAGCAAAAAAATCTGCATCCCTAAAAAAAAAAAAATTTTTATTAATGAAATAAAAAAGAAATCAAACCACATACATTCCAATAACTTTACTAGCCATCGATGTTTTAGCAACATTAATTAAACATTCACTACCTAATTCATCAACATTAATAACCATTTTATCGTGAATATATTTTACTGCTAATCTAAAAACAAAAGTAAACCATTGATGTTCGTAAATAAATAAAAATAATATAAAGAATTTCTTACTTGCAAGCAAGTTTATAACCACTGATAACTGATGTTGGATGAATTTTTTGTTTAACAAGTTGATCAGCATTTTTTAATAATTCTGCAGCAATGATTACCTTTAAAAAATTGTTTAAATTAAATAAAATATCAAAAAAAAAAAAATATATATATATATAAACTTACTACACTAGTTGTACCATCACCAACTTCTTGATCTTGTAATTGAGCCAATTCAACAAGTACTTTTGCAGCCGGATGTTCAACTTCAAGTAATTTAAGAATTGTTGCACCATCATTGGTTATAGTTACATCCTAAATTAGATGTATTTTTATTTCAATAAATATTTTAAAGCAAAAAACAAAAAAAGAAAACAAACTTACTCCTATATCATCGACAAGCATTTTATCAAGACCAAGTGGACCTAATGATGTTCGAACAATGTTTGCAATAGTCATAGCAGCTAGAACTATTTAATTAAACGAGAAAAATATGATGATTATATTTTTATTAAATTTATACTAACCATTTTGAGTACGAACTGAATCGCCTAGAAATTACAACAAGAAAAAAGAAAAAAGAGTATGCTTTCTTTTTCTTTTTTGTTTTAAAAACTAAATGTTAATACCTGTAATACGTTCTCCACCGAGTGATAATGCAGCTTGAGCCATTTGATGAAAGAAAAAATGAATGAATATTGATCTAAAAATATAGAAATAAAAGATATGAATTCACTTTACACTAACTGTGAATCGGTCGGTTGTCAAAACAACGTTCGATGACTGTTTGTTTACGAAATTTTTTTTTTCTATTCCAATGCTTTTTTTTTCTTTCTTAATTTGTTCTCAAGGATCCAAAAAAAAAGAATAGATAATCTTTACAAATAATATCTGTACATCCAGTAAGATAGATTTCATGAACTTTCTGAAAGAGGTCACTATTATCATGATGAAAAATTTAATTGAAGGTACAAACGCATGTCATATGGTATCCATTTATATTTACTCTATTTATTTCTCCGTTTATCGGTTGAAATTGTTAATGTAGGAACGAAAAAGAAAAATTCCTATAAAATCATTTGGACTCTTACAATTGAAATCTAAATCTCTAGTTAAGTTTTTTTTTTTCTATCAATCAATTGTAACAAAGTGGACCTTCTTGTTCATCCATCCATATCGACTGATACATCATTATCATCAGGAAAAAATGATGTCAAGTTCTCCTCCACTTCATTCTCATAGTCCAACATCAAATGGTGCTTCATCATCAAATAGTGGTGGCCCATCATCAGATGCATGTAATGGAATAGTTGCTAATCTTTTATGTCATCGACAACGAACGAATGGTGAAAGTGAAACCTTTTCAAAGCGAGCTATTGAAAGGTAAAAATAAAGAAATCAATTAAAAAGAAAAATATGAAGAGTTTTCTTTAGTTTGGTAAAAAAATTGAAAGATAAAAAAGATGAACTTGATGCGTTAGTAACAGCCGTTACATCTGGTGGACAAATACCAACTAAATGTGTTACTATTCAACGAACGCTCGATGGAAGATTACAGGTTTGACATTTCGAGTGCATTTTGTTTTTCTATCGAACAAAAACAAGAAAACCCTTTTTCCTTTGTGTAATTTAGGTGGCTGGTCGTAAAGGTTTTCCTCATGTAATTTATGCTCGTATATGGCGTTGGCCTGATTTACATAAAAATGAATTAAAACATTTAAAAATTTGTCCATTAGCATTTGATCTTAAACAAGAATATGTTTGTGGTAAGTTAAAATAATACTTTTTTTGTTTTTTGATTATATAATTTTTCTTTTCTAGTAAATCCATATCATTATGAACGAGTTGTTTCTCCTGGAATTGGTAATTAATTAATCATTGAATTTTTTGTTTTAAATTAAAAGTCTAATGAATCTTTATTTTAAGATTTAGCAGGAATGCCACTTGTGCCACGTTTTCAATTACTTGGTCATGGTGATCCATCATCATCAAATGATCGTGATATATATTCGACAGCTGATGGATATCGTTTTTTAAAAGGTGATTAAGAATATTATTCTCTTAATAATTTTTTCAAGCTAAAAAAAAAAGATCTTTACAGATTATAGAGATGATCAAAATTCTCCACAACCTCTAGGTGCTATTCAACATCAAACACCTGATACGACTAGTCCCAGTCCTCCACATCTATATAATACTAATGGAACTGCTGTTACAAATACAAATGGTTTTCCACCAGCAATGATTCCACAAGGTAAAATAAATATTAGAATTTTTGAATTAAATTATTTTTGTTTTATTAAGATGCACCTGTTCCTTTATGGGCGCAGCCATCACCAGCTGCAGCTAGTTTATGTAAGTATTTGATTTTGACTGTTTTTCTTTTCTATAAAATGATTTTAAATTATTAATTATAGGGCAACCACATCCCCTTGTTCCTACTAATGGTTTGAGTGTACCACCTATTCAACCATTAGCATTAATTAGTAATTTTGGTGAATATTGGTGCAGTATAGCATATTATGAACGTGATATACAAGTTGGTGAAACATTTAAGGTGCCAGATACATTTAAAGAAGTGACTATTGATGGTGGAATGGATATGGCTACTGTTGGTGATCGATTTTGTTTGGGTCCATTAAGTAATGTTCATCGTACAGAAGCAAGTGAAAAAGCACGGTATGATATTTCTTTCTTTTTCTTTTAATGATTAATAATGAAAAATTTAAATAATAGACTATATATTGGAAAAGGTATTCGTGTTGAATGTCGAAATGAAGGTGATGTATGGATACGATGTAATAGTGAACAAGCAGTTTTTCTCCAATCATATTATCTTGATCGTGAAGCGGGTCGTGCACCAGGTGATGCTGTTCATAAAATTTATCCTCAAGCTTGTATTAAAGTATGTGTTTGTATGAAAGAAAACAAAGGCAGTTTTTCAATTGTATCTATTCATAATTGAATTTTTAAGGTATTTGATTTACATCAATGTTTTACTCAAATGGATCAACGTGTGAAAATAGCTTTACATGCACGAATACAACAACAAACTCATGGACAAACAATGTCATTACCAACTAATTTAAGTGTTGATGAATTACGACGTTTATGTGTGTTACGACTTAGTTTTGTTAAAGGATGGGGACCTGATTATCCAAGGTAAGATTTAATTCTTTTGAAATTTATCAATTAGTTTTTTTTTCTTGTTATAATAGACAATCAATAAAAGAAACTCCATGTTGGATTGAAATTCAAATTCATCGTGCACTTCAATTACTTGATGATTTATTTAATTCAATGAGTCATCAATTGACAAGTGCTGTTGTGACAGCTTCATCTTCTATATCATCAATTCCATCGATGATTACAAATAACAACAGTAATTTATCATCTAATACTATTAAAATAGAACCAACACATTCTTCATATAATAATATGGACAATTGAACGAACTTCATTCTCATTTGTTTTTTTCCCCTTTGTTATGCATTTAATTTATTTTAACGAAAAATTTTTGTTGTTGTTTTTTTTTCTTGTTTTCGACTTCAATACACCGACACATTTATTTATTGATGCTTATTTATTCTATGTGAACGATAAAGTATGCCTGTTTTACAAAAAGACATGTACAGAAAATTCTTTCTCTTCTTTTTTGTCCATTAGCAATATTTCCTAAATTTTGTTTGTTTTCCTTGTGTGACTTATGGCGTGGCTAACTTCATTGTGATTTCTTGTTTTCATTTCTATTGTGTAGACATTTCTGTTTCTCTTTGATTATTGTTATCTTTTCTACATATTCGTTTTTGTTTAAAGACAAATAACAAATTATTCTTTACATTCTTTTCCTCTCATTGGTTTCCTTGGTTTTTTCAATAAACAAAAACTTTGCTTTTTTTTTTCTTGTTTCTTTTTTTTTCATTGCGTAATTTATGTTATACTTTTCTTATCAATGTCTGCTTTTCTTTATTGATATTTTGAGTCATTGATGATTCATGTTTTATTGTATGTATATATTACTAAGGATGATTTTAGATTTTGTTTAAATAAAAATGGCACACGGAATTTCAAATGATGATCCAACAAAAAAAGAACATGTTGATGCACCAGAAATACTTGATAAAAAACTTGATCAATTAGCAGATTGGATTCGAAATGCTAAACATTTTATTGTATTTACAGGTTAGCTAGTAATATATAAGAATATTTCTATAGTTGACGTAAATATATCTATGATATAGGTGCCGGTATATCGACATCAACTGGGTAAGTTGATTTTTCAAGTATTTGAAAAATATTGAGTATACTTGTTTTAATTAGTATTCCTGATTTTCGATCGAGTATGAATACAATATTACCAACAGGACCTGGTGTATGGGAACTTCGAGATCATCCCGGTGCAAAACGTGCACCAAATGCTCGTACAACATCATCAACAAAAGCTATTCCATCAGTTACACATATGGCTCTTGTTGAATTAGCTCGTCGTAATCTTCTTCATTTTGTTGTTTCACAAAATACTGATGGTCTTCATTTACGTTCTGGTTTACCATCAACATTATTAGCTGAATTACATGGAAATTCAAATTTAGAAACATGTAAAAAATGTCGTACAAAATATTTACGTGATTATCGTACACGTACGGCTAACAAAGTTCATGAGCATGCAACAACTCGAAAATGTACGAAATGCAGTTCAACACTTTATGATTCAATTATTAATTTTGGTGAAAATCTACCTGAATATGAATTAGAAACAAGTTTTGATCATGCAGAACGTGCAGATGTTTGTCTTGTCTTAGGTTCATCATTACGTGTAACTCCAGCAGCTAATATTCCAGAACGAGTTGGTGAACATGGTGGAAAATTAATTATTGGAAATTTACAATTAACTCCATTAGCAAATTTAGCTAAATTAAATGTTCATGCATTGTGTGATGATTTAATGCGAGGATTAATGGCTAAGTTAGATATTCCTATACCAGAATGGGAACTTCATCGACGAATACGTATTACAATTAAAGATCAAACTTTATCAATAATGGGTCTTGATCTTAATCAAGATATAGCTTATACACTTTTTTCAACAATAAAAATATCAGTACGAGAAGGAACTGAATCAAAATATGATTCAAAAGAGATTAAAGGTGTAGAACCAATTGAACATAAAATAAAAGTCAATAATCCAAATGATAAAATGAATGTTTATGTTGAATTAAATTGGCAAGGACATTACAATGAACCAACATATACAATTAGAATTCCTTTTACGAATTCGTCAAAAGAAGTACACCTGTTTTATAATCCAAAAACACGCGGTTGGAGAGAAGAGTAATATACCTGTGATTATTTGTTTTTAATCAAGATATTTTTTTATTTTTTTTTTTTGTAAATTTCTTTTTCTTTTTTTTTTCATAAATACAATTCTTGTTTTTCATAATTAACGTCAATTTAATATGAAATCGTTTTACTTTATATTTACAGATCGTTTTAATCTATTTATTAATTTTTATTTTTTGTTTTATTTTTTGTTTCGAAATTTATTATTGAAAAAAAAAACTTTTCTTTTTGAGGAGAATATTATTTATGGGTTCAAATGTATCACAACCACCAATTGAATTAAGTGCAGCAGATATTGAATTTATTTCAACTAAGGCTAATATTGATCATGAAAATGTGCAAGTTTGGTATGAAAAACTTAAGGTTAGTCATATGCATTAAGAAGAGTTTTTCTTGATCTTTTTTTTAAATCTCAGGCTGCTTGTCCAAATGGAAAAATTTCTAAAACAGATACAGTGAATTTCATACGAAGTATAAATAGTGGTAAAGAAGAGCAAATTCAAAAAATGGCGATAGATATTCATAAAGCATTTGACACTAATAATGATGGAATTGTTGGTAGGTTTAGTTTTCTACTATAGTCCATTGGTCTTCAATTCAGGTTGAAATTTCGATTTTCTTTTTCAGTTTTTATGCTGTTTGCTCTTTTCTATTTTCTGTATGCCACAAAAGATATTTATTATGTGTTTTGACTATTCTCATATAGATAACACGATGTGCTACAAATAACCCTATTTTAAAAGGCAATAGTTATTAATAAATAGAATTGATGACTCATTTTATATTCATTCATGATACTTGCCTTATCTTGATTTTTTTATGACCGTCGGAAATATTTCTTATATTTTTCTTATTTGAAAATTTGCTTATACATAGTAATTATTGTTTTGCCAATAGTGATTTAACTAATTGTTTTTTTTGGGGGGGATTCATTTACAAACTGAATGTTTACTAACGATGAGATTGAATATGATGACTATTGATTGAGATAATGGTCTGAAGAAGAAGTATACTTATTCATAAATGCTGGAATAGCTGATTAATGATAATTCTTTGCCAAACAAATCGATACATCATATTAAGAATGCAAAGAATTATGGAGAAGTCGACAAAAAAAAAGAAAAACATGAACATGTTGATATCAATATAGAAGAAAATATTTATATTAAATAACTTTCATTAGACACAAATATTGGAAATAGCACTTTTGCACTTACTCATTAGAGTACTCGATAGAAATTAAGGATATTACTTTTCTCTAAAAGCCCATTGTCATCTATGTCAAATATATAAATTTGGAAAGTGTATATCGTACGTTTTTTTCTCATACATATCTTCTTTCAACCTTTTCTTAAATCTAATTTTATGATCTGTTAGTAATATTATACCATTATATAGTTTATAGTATCTTTCTAGCAAACATATAAAAAATTGTGGTTAAATAATAAAAATTTGTTCCAGAAGAAATAACTAAATAAACTCTTACTCAACCTGAATTTGAGACTAAAGAAAGATAATTGTTTATTTTTTCGAAAAAATTATGAAAATTTTAAATAGATCAACGTGAATTTTTAATTGGTTTTGCTTTAACATCTACGGGTAGTGTTCGTGAAAAGCTTAAATATGTCTTTCGAACATATGATCATGATAAAGATGGTGTTATTAATAAAAAAGAAATAGACCGAATGGTTAAAGTATGTTATTAATATTTTAACTGTTAGAATTAGTTTATTGTGTTTTTCTTTTTTGATTCTTAACATAGATTGTAATGAGACTTCGTGCAAAAGATGATCCAGAAAATACTGCACGTATTATTGATGACTTAAAAACATCACTTGAACATCTTAATGGAAGCAAAGATTTTGATGATATAAAAATAACATCACAAGATTTTATTCAATTATTAATGAATAATAAAGAATTATGTGAATTATTGTCACCATTCAATATAGAACAACCAAGAGAAATTATCGTTCAGCAATCATATTCTCGATCAAAATAATATTAAAAGCAAAAAAAGTAATAGTCAGTTAAATTATGCAAAAAAAATATGTATAAATTTGTTTATTTTATTCTGGTTATGTTCTCTATTTTCTTTCATTTCAATGCTTACCGTACAATAATGCAACAGTTTATCCCGGTTTTCCTGTCTCATGCTTTTTCTTCTTATATATATATATATATATTTATGGCTTCATTAGAAGTCTTTTCTTTTGTTTGCACTTATTCTGCTTGTGATAAGGATTATCGAGAGAAAATGTCTTTGATGAAATTCAAGCATCATATTATATTCAAGCTATTTGTAGAAGATATCAGATTGTATGTTTAATTCATTTTTATGTTAATTTCTGTTAAATAAAGAAATTAATCGATATTTTAAATAGAATGCAATTAATTTTAATAAATAAATTTTTCTCTATTGAACAAATGGTTATGATCATTCAATTAACGTAAACTAACGTCTGCTATGTATTTCCTTTGAAGATTTGTTTTGTTTTAACTATGAAAGATGATCAAACTATTATCTTAAATTTACGAAGGAATTTTTTCAGATGTCAAATCGCTTTTCGACAGAGACAATGATCACCTGATGAGTGCTAGAAAATAATAGAAAATTCTGGAATGATTTGTTTTTTCGTGCCTTCATTCTTGAGATATCGAAGTTTTATTGAGTTTAAAAAAAAATAACTGCGATGGTCACATGAAAGATAGACTTTGGAGTTTTGATTGCAAATTTCGTACGAACAAAGTTCTTCATGAAATTGTTTGATTGTACAAGTTTCAACTTTTCTAGCTTGTCCTTGCCGGAGATGTAGATATGTGAACAAAATCTGCTTTTACACACATCAGAACATTTTAGATATTCCATAACTCAGAATAGGAGACCCTAAAAAAGTTACAATTTGTCCAATGAACTAATATCATTAAGAACTTTGTTTGTGCAAGGTTTAGAGTTGAAACTCGAATGTCGATTTCTCTTGTGACCACAGCTTTTTGTTGAAAGACTTAGTAAAATTTCGATATCTTAAGAACGAAGGTCTGAAAAACTAAAACAAAAGTTTGTATTTCTTTCTGTAAACAACGATGATATAATGTTTATAACATTCTGCAAGTTATCACAGAAAAGCAATAAACAAAACTAATGACAACTGTAATATATGAAAAATTAAGATTGATCGTTTATCTAATAAACTAATGAGTATATTTCAGCGATAAATGTCAATAATTCTCAACTTGAGTAATGATGGATTACTATCCATATTGACGTTTCATTGAGATGTTTCAGAAATAGTGATTTAGATATGTTCACATGTTTTTTTTCTTTCTCATTATTAATATACAGCTCGATGGAGAAATCAGAATATTAAAAAGTTTGGACAATAATTCATGTTCAGATTTAGAAATCATTTTTCAAATGTGGAGAATGAAATCATACTTGATTTTGTTAATAAAAAAAACATTTTATACAATAAATCTTTTTTAAAAATTTGTGTGGTCTTTTGTTTCTTATCGAAGAATTACAAAAAAAAATATCCGAAAGATAGCAATTTTTTTGCATTTTATATGCAACAATAATTTAGGTATTGTCTGCACCACGACGCATATGACATCGATAACATAATAAGGTACCATCTGCTAGTGGACAACAACCACCCAATACAGTTATTGTTTGTTCATCACTTAATTGACATTGACAATCCTAGAAAAATAATTAACATTAAAATAATCCAAAATTTATATTCATCATTACTTCGCATCGATAACATTCAACATGAAAATTTTTATTCATAGCAATCACACGAGTTGTTTCATCGGAACCCTGTTCAATATACAAAAGACAAATTCTTTTTTTTTTCTTTTTTTAAATCTGTTTATTTTCATACTTCTCCTGGACAGATTGGATAAGCACATTTAGCACATCGTGAAGCATAGGTACTGAAATATAGAGCCATAAGAACAAGAATATTGACGAACATGAAATATCTTACTTATGATAATCGTATAAACAAAACAAACGTTGTTCCTTATCAATAGTAAATGGAAGACCGTCAAGGCACTCATTGCATACTGAGCAACGAAAACATCCGGGATGATAAGTATTACCAAGTGCTTGGAGCATCTTTAATGGAAGAAAGAAACTTTATTTAAATAAAAACATTTTCTAACAAATAGAAAATACTTTGTCCATGATAAGATGATCACATATTCGACATTTTTCTACAGTTTGTTGAAAACCAGTAAACTAAAATAATTCAATAAAGGAATTATTTCAAAATGTTATTATCATTAAATATTGAAATAATTCCTATTAGTAATTCATATATATATTTCTTACCAAATAATCCTCTTCACAATAGACTTGATCATGTACACGATAGAATGCTTTTCCTCGTAATGTTCGAGAACATACAACACATTTAAAACAATCATTATGATAAAGTTCACCCATAGCTTGACAAGCTTCAGATGAACCCGTCACAGATTGACCACATTTAGTACATTGTCCATAATATTCACCAACTGTTGCTTCAGCTTCAAGTTCTTTTTCTAAATGTAATGTAAGTGCAGCTAATTTTCGTTGTACATCATGCACACTAGACAAAATATTGCCATCAGTACGAGCTGTTGGCATAAGAGTACTAAATGGTATTCGAGTACGAGGTGGACGTAAATTTGGTGTTCGAATAGTAATTCGAGAAAAGTCATGTGTTCTATGTGGATGTTGTTGGTGATGTTGAGAATGAGGATGAAGACGACCATTGACTGTTACATTAAACCTAGGTCGAGGTAAATGTAAAACAGGTCTTTCTTGATTAATATACAATGTACTAGAATTATGAAATGGAGCAGGAGATAAAGAAGATTGTTCTTGTACTCGATTTATTGGAACATAATTCATATCGAATTGTTGTTCAAAATTAATTATACGATTGTCAATGGAAGATTCAAGTGATAAATGTATTGGATAATTAGTAGTAGATGAAGCAACATCATAAGGAGAATTTGAAAGACCAATTGCTGAACTCGAATTTTGGTGAGGAGATGTTGAAGGATAAATAGGTGATGATATTTTCGATTGTGGCGAACCCAGATTGGCGATGATAAATGTTCGCTAGTAAGAGCAACATTCGATAGGCGTGCGTACAAACGTGTTGATGCGTTTTTTATGATAATGCCAATACATCCGATGCGATCTTTCTTTTTTTTTCTTTTCTTTTCTTTTCTTTTCTTTCTTTCTTTCTTTTTATCTACCAGCACTTTTGGGACACATCAAAACTTACTGATCATCTAAAAGAAAGAAAAACTATCGTTTCTTACTACAACTAAGGCAAAGGATGCATCATAGTCCTCTAGCACAAGTTAATCTTTTGTCCATATCTGCAGTTAGTAATAGTATCAACCAATCTTTTTCTGTCGCGTTCTTAGATCTTTTTTCTTTTTCTTCTTGTATTTGCTACTCAACTGCTGTTGTTAATTCATATTTGATTGTTTCTTACAGAGAAAAGTAAAGGAAAATAAGGAGTACTTGGCTGTGTAATGTCTATCCAACTACGCAACACAAAAAGGAAAACAGAAAGGTCAATATTTTTGTTCTCATGTATATCATAAACGGCTGTCTTTTCATGTGATGTTTCTCTATTCTATTTAGTAATAAGCTTTCTAGAATTTCCATCGTCAAAAACTCGTACAGATTTTTCTCGAGAAATATTTTGGTTTTTTTTTGTAAAATATCTGTACTAAATATTTCATTTTTGTTTTCACTACGATTTGAACCTTTTGAAAAGTATTTCAGTTTCTTCAATACGAATTAAATCACAATTTTTCTAATTAAAAAAAAAGGGCTCATTATATTATGGTATGAATAAGACAATATCTAAAGTCAAAATGTTCTCAAACAATCAATATCTAAAAACTATGGTAAGAAAGATCATACGTCCAAAAACTATTGGTTGAGATAACTGGAATATGAAATGAAAAATACTCCTGTACGACGATATACAACAACTATCGCATAGATGATTGACATAAAATAAAAGCAAGAAAACCAGCGCTAACAAATTATATGTGCAAAATAGATGACAGTCGATTGCTCTACCATTGAGTCTTCTTAAAAGTGCTTACCAAACAAGATCAGTAGGCGCAATATTTCTATTAGTATTGTGATCAGAAAAAAGTTTTTTGGTAGCGAATAAATATGCACCAACTCGTCATGATTAAATAACAAGTTATTGTGTGCAATCAAAATTAAGTTTTATTCTATTTCTTACTTTAAGACTCGAATTTAAACTGGTTGAAAAATGTCTAAAACAACTCTTATATTTTGAATTATTTTATTGAAAATGATTTACTCAAAGCATTCAAATACGGACTTCTATAATTTTCCCAATTTAACTATTAAATTGAGATACGAATGTTATCATAAGTTTAGTTATTTGAATATTTTTCATACAAACCATTTTATTCAACATACAATGGTTTAGAACACTTTTAATGTTTCATCAATTTTTGATTATCAATTAGGTATTTTAAAACTCTTCTATCGATTATTCAATGCAGAGTTTATTGGATTACATTTCATTAAAAGTTAC